CGTATACCAGCAAATATCTATGAATGAAATAAATAAAATTTTGTAATTTTTATTTTTTTGGAAAAGAAAAAGAATACTTACTGAATTGACTATATAAGTAATAATAGCTGCTAATACATAATTAGAAGCAAAAACATCAACAAAGAGAAATGTAATCATATTCCAAATAAATAAAGTACTTTCTTCACCATAAAAAAGAATTTCTGTAAAAGTTTTTTCATTATCTATTCAAGAAAGATATTGATTTTGATATTCTAATGATAGATATCTTACCAATAAATAATAAATTATCTATTTGTCCTTCTAAATCAGACCTTGTTCGAACACGAAATTCATAATTAAGAATTTTTTCTAGAAGATATCGATTACGGATTCTATATTCATGTGAAGGCAACGAATGATCAATAAATGCACATAAAAAACCATTTAAATTTTGATAGGATTGAAGAAGCATATCTGTATAACGTTCAAAATCTTGTCGAACTTTCCGTGGTCCATTGTAATTCTAAATGAAGGAAAACGACCTATATGACTAGCTTTGGAACGAAAAACAAAATAATGCAATCAATTATGGATTTTNAATTATTTGGAATTGGAAGGATTATCTTTACATGACATCGATTGCTTTCATGTTAACGTCACACTATCAACGAGCAACGATCAATTACCAATGGGTATTGCGAGTTGATCAAGATGCTCTGCTCAGTCCTGCTCTACTGTTGGGTCTGGCACAAAAACATCCCATTAAATTGCTCAATATGCAGTTTGGAGGGATTGGTCACGGGACTGAGTTTACAAACAGCCGATTACGCATGATTGCCAAAAAACTTGGCTACAAACATGTTGGAGTACACAACCTTTGCTCGGCATGGTTAGTGAGCCCACAAGACTCAATTAGAATCGCCAATTTAACAGTCCACATCGGAAGATATCTGCTTAAAAATGAATTTGGTCGGCATGTTCCCGGTATTGTATAGACAGAGAGACAAACTTCTGGTCTTTGGTTGTGTGAGAAAGAAATTAGCTTTTGTTTATCTCATAAATTATTGGTTAGAATATCTATAACACTATCGGAAGTCTACAGTGAAAAACATGACAATTTCAACAATCGAATAATGCGACGAGCTAATCTCTAGGGTCGTACTTCCGCTTGAGAGAAAGGCAAAAGTCAAAGATTCTATTCAATCTTCTTCCTAGAATGATTTTGCTAAATTTAAAATTTCTCTTCTGAAAGAAGGTTTCGTTTCGAGATGTTCATTTTGAACTTGTTTCTCTAGGTATTGAAGACCTACCAACGATTGGCGAATGGCCGAAATGGTGGCGTGGTGTCACATCGTTATATGCCGCCGAAATAGCAATCAACCACATTTACTCATCGACTCTTGCTCATCAACATGAATCCACTGTATTGGATCATCCAGCAGATTCACAAAATTCTCTGTGGAATGCTTGGCACATTCATTGTTTACACAATCCAACGTATTTTGCAAAATTCCGACATCGAGATGATCTCTATTACTTTCTTCGTTACTCTCAAGCGAGACGAATTCGAATTATTAAGGATTACTATTCTGTAGAACTAATAGTAAGACGAGTGATCGATGAATTCGAAGTGATCTATATCAGAAATGAAACAGTTCAAGGAAAGATCACTGTTCGTGACTACGTCACGGTGTTAGCTTGGAGAAAAGCTTATGCAGCAACCGGAGCTATCAACTTGTAATGCTTTCAAGAGTATCCGCTTTCGAAACACTATCTGCACATGTCGGTAGAATAAAAAAGTCGAGTATCTGCAGCTCGTCTCTCAGCTGAATTTTTTTTCTTGATTCTCATCACGTTCGTAGTGCAAACGAAAAATACCAATATTGTTCCGTCAGTCATTGTTTCACTCATATACGTTTGAAAGTCGATTATATTTTACTTATACTGCCGCTCGTCGAAATCTTTTTATTTCTTTATGCTACGTAAACAACATCGAACCACAACAAAACTATGAAAAAGATAGAAACAAGCTTATTCATATACATACTCGTAAATCTCATCGTCATAGACAATTCTTCATGGAACGTAGTTATCACAAAATATCTATTAGTTTCATGAAATTTAGTTTTTTGTCGAGCAACAGCATTCTTTGTACAAATACACGTTCTTTTGTGATGTGTCAACAAAAATTCTCCGTGACAGCTTCTAAGACTGAATAATGTTGTTATTTAATAAGGATGAAGATGTGTATCATGTTGGAAAGCTACACTGTAAGAAAAACGGTTTATGAATTTGCAACGGGACACAAACCTTTTTTCTGTTTTTTTTCAGCGGATGTTTTTTACAGTGTATACTTATGAACGAAAGAACGCAACAGATAATAGAAGAACCATTTTAAAGAATCTGTACTTGTCTATAAAAAGATGGCACAAAATGTAAATCCTTATATTTCTTCAATAAATCGATTGTGAAAAGAATATTGTTATATCAGTTGATAAGCAATTTTCTTCACTTTGAAACAGTGTATAATTCATATTTATATCATATATTGATGAGTGAAACGTTGCGAGCAAAAAGAGAAATATTCCTGCAATAAATTGAGTTTTTATATTAATTCATGAAAAGCATCTTATAGATAACAGTTAATTACAAGCAAATTAGCTGCAGTGTTAACAAGACGTTTTTAACGAGTTCATAAAAGTAGAAGTAACCACTCTTTGAAAATGCGCTTTTATGAGTTCACAAAGATCGCATTAATTGTCGTTTTACAAGATGTTTTCGATGGTTTAATATAAAAATTACATATTCCTTGCGCGAATACTTCTCTTTTTTTTTAGTCTAATTTTGATTTACGAATATGCAACGAATATATATCATACTTTGTTCAAAAGAGGAGGAAATTTCCTATTGATCAATAACAAAAGTGGATTCTTTTAATGGATGTTTTTATTTCCAGTTGCATCATTGCGTTTATGAATGCGTGACAAAAATAAATTATATACGAATCGAAAGAGAAAAAAATTCTGTAACGTCTAGTAAAAAAACCTTTTCTTCCAGAACCAGTCTATCGAAGAGAAATAGGACCCGACATTTGTCCGCTAAATTGTGAATCGTATGTTATTTACCGTGTTTCGTTGGCATTTAGTCTAATGCATCGATACTCATTCAGGTTATCTTTTTGCAGATGATCTTTGTGTTATTATAGGACTTCTTATCTAGATGTATAAAAAGCATTCTGAAATTCCTATGTAAGCTTACATGGTTAAGAGGAAAATGCTACAATGTCTACCACGGTGCTTAGACAATGTGTTTTCGCACATGATCTCATTTAAATCATGAAATGTTCGTAGTTGTGCAACATCACATGAATGAGAATGTATCAAATATTTTCTGTGATTTTTTCATTGTTGAATTATTATTATTAGTATCATTTGTAGTAACGGAATCCGTTGTTGTTGTAGAAGAATAATATAATTAGAATTTGTGAATAAATTAACATTGATCGTTTGTCCAAAATTAATAAGGTATTCCTTGCCAAACTATTTTCTTGTTTCGTAAAATATTTTTTCAACCTTTTTTGCCGGATCAGCTCGTTGTTTTTCCTAACTTTGTTCCACTCAATTTTCAGCAATTGATATGAATCCTGTTCGGAAGTTAGATAGCTATACTTTAACAATAACATTTTGGATTTCTTGTTTCTTTCCTCAACGTATTATGACAGCTCAAGAATACATCTAGAAACAATTCATAATGTGGTAATTTGTAGATGGCAATTTTTGATCAGATACAATGTTACCAATTTTGGCATTGTTTATTTGTTTTAAATCGGTTACTATTATCTACACAATATCATCATTTTATCAATGTCATCGTCAATATATGCCAAAGCTTCATGTTAGCCTCTAATATAATTTATGTGCTATTCAGATACTGTGATAAGGTAATCAGCCGAATTGATTCCTTTCCTAACTGATTGCCTGATTTTCGAATGATGCGTATTTTGTATTTTTCGTGATCATTCATTTAGGCACATATGAGTCATGAATACATTAATCTCTTTCAAGCAATGCCGTCAACATAAAGAATATAAAATTTGTTATAGAAACTTCGAGGTATTAATTCGATCTAATGATCTATTCAAAACGATAAATACAACTTTTGCTCTCTATAAATAATGCCGTAACTATGTAAATGTTTTTAATTAGTTATATTTTTTCGTTTAACAAGCAATGATAAATTTCAAAAGTCGAAAGTGTAGTATTTTTCTAGAGAGTAAGAAACGTTTATGATTCATCTACAAGCAACATGTTATTGCACCATCACGCTTCAGTTTCAATATATATAAGAGTTAAAAAAGAATAGAAAGAGTGGCAAATATGTCACGCTGAGAACTATACTTTATAAACTGACTGATTTAAAGCAAGAATTCAACTAAATACTATTTATGCTGAAAAGCCATATCCGCTCAAAAAGACGTAATACTAAAGTATTACATCTTTTTTTTCTGATAATCAAGAAAATCTTGTATTTATTGTAGTACAAATATCGGTTTCACTGATTGTTTATTTTCATTGACAGAAGAATGAAAGATATTTTCGAGTTATTTTATTTTGATTCTCTTTAGTCATCTAGAAAAAATGAAAAATATCTTGCACATTCGCTTTTGTTCTACTACAAGTATTCCTTTCATTCACATTAATCGAAATTAGTCGAATGGTAAAATTTCTACTTATTCACTACTAAAGATAATTATGAGACACTCCATGAGAAGATCAAGGATCGTCCCTGTATATGAATTTGAAAGACTATCATCCAAAATCATCAAACCCACATTTTAAAATTATTTTGATGTTCTATAGTAAAGTTACCTTAGATATATATTTTAGAATTACCTTCCTACCATCCAGAAAATAGTAACAAATTGTCCTATAAAAGTCTGCTAGAATTATACTTTAACAAGTTAGAGAATTTTTTTGTATAAAATACCAAAAGATAAAGCATGAAAAACTGAACAAAATGAGCTATTTCAAGTATTGTATATCATCTATTTGGTAGGTTTATATAGTTCAAGATGTGTGAGAAAGATGACAATTTATGAATCTATAATGGTGAGTGTTTGACAGTATACTTGCTGTCATTTCTTTAAATCAAAAGATTCCAAACTAAGTTTTGTGTATACTATTTAACTTTTCATTGTGGAGAAAATAGTAAAAAAATATTGAAATTAAAGTTCATCTTCAGGATGAAACGGGGTCCACACCTCTCTCCTACAAAGTAATTTTTTATGATTTTTCAACAAAGAAAAAACATTCTTAGTAGTTTTAATTGCCACAATGCGATCGTAACGCAAAACAAATGTGACCTTTCTAAGTCAGCATCAAAAACTATTTCGAGTCAAACACATTTGAGAGAATTCTTTTTTTTCTAGAAAAAATCATCTGTGGTTCTCTACGGCTGCATTTTACTTAAATTTTGCCCTATGGTCCCTAATGGGTTTCGATTTAAACAAATGGCAGTAGATGTATTACCAAACTTCGACCCTTATGGATTCATAGATTGTCACTTTTCTCACACATGTTAAACTATATAACTCCACTCAATATATGATATACAATATTTGAAATAGCTCATTTTGTTCAGTTTTTTATGCTTTATCTTTTGATATTTTATACGAAAAAATTCTCTAACTTGTTAAAGAATAATTCTAGCAGACCTTTACATAGGACAATTTATCACTATTTTCTGAATGGTAGGTAGGTAGTGCTAAAATATCTATCTAAGGTAACTTTATTATAGAACATCAAAATAATTGTAAAATGTGAGTTTGATGATTTTGGATGATAGCCTTTCAAATGCACATGAAAAATGAAAATTTCAAATTTTGACTAGTGTTCCATATACAGGAACGATTCTTGGTTCTCTCATGAACTGTCTCTGAAGTATCCGCTACAAAACCTCATCATTAAATATCAAATAAGTTAAAACAACCTCTCACCATATGGTATACAAGCTCAGCATTGAATACATTTTTTCTGATACTATAGATCACATGCATCATATTATGATGAATCATAACAATTTTAATACACTTTTATTACGAATCTTTTTTCTATGCACTAGATTAACCTTCGTATATTTACCTATTAATAAACCTTGACTAATACGATAAATCTAATGATGTGATCGTTGATGCATGTCGAATGATTCATGCGTAATTGCGCTTTGTTTATTTATACTATAAAAAGACACCTATATTATTTATGATCACATACCTTTTAAGTATAAATTTTAAATAAACGACGATATTTCTCTTCTAAGAACAATCCTCGTTAACGCTCATCTACGATCACAAGCTGCAATATGGATCAAAATAAAAAATCTCCAAAAACTGATAAACACAAGACAACTACAAATGCATCATCCAAAAGTGGAAAAAATGATGAAAAAGACGACGAAAATGTTTTATCTAAAGCGGCTCATAAAATTGGAGACAAAGTGCATAACTTTACTGATGATGTTAAAGAAAAAGCACATCATTTAACTCATAGTGATGATCCAAAAAAAGATAAAGGTGATAAGAAAGAGGGCACTAAATTAAAAACATCATCAAAAATTGATAAGAAAGATTCCGATGATGAAAAAGAAAAAGATACATCAAAACCACCACCACCTCCACCCTCATCTTCTTCAGGTAATTATATGATTAAAAAAAATTCTTTCTTAACAAAAAAATATAACTTTCTTTTTAAGGAACAAAGAAAGATAACGGAGCATCTGCTTCTTCCAACAGTAAACTTTCAACAGTTAAATTGCATTTCTTTAAAAGTATCTTTATTTCTAGAACCTCCGTCTGATGATAAAGAAGGTGGTAGTGGTAGTGGTGGTACTGCTGCTGCTCCCCCTTCTTCAAGTAAGCGATTCGATCCTTTAATCTATACCAACAAATCTCTTTTTTTTAGAACCACCCGGTTTACCATCTCAAGCCGGCAAACAAGAAAATTCTGCAGCTGCACCTCCATCGTCAAGTATGATTCTTAGTTGATCAATCTATAAAAAAAATCGTTTTTCTGTTTAGAAAAAACTGGTCCTGATCCAGCCAGTAAAGCTAAAGAACCACCGTCAGGTGGTGATTCTAAACCTCCTGGTGAAAAGAAAGATGACGATGCTGCTGCTGCTCCTTCTTCAAGTATGACATTTAATTGATTAGTTTCAATTACAAAATCTCTCGTTTAGAAGCACCTGGTAGTAGTTCGGCTAGTAAATTTCCTGGCACGCCTGCTGATAACCAGAAAGCTGCTACAACTCCTCCTTCTTCTAGTACGATAGTTGTATAATTAATCTATTGTAAAAATGTCTTTTTTAGAACCAGCGAGCAACGAAAAGGATAATACAAAGTCTGTAGACCTAGCAATAAATAATGATTCAAAACAGTCAGCTAGCAAACCAAATAGTGCTTCAGGTGATGCTGATACATCTAATAAACTATCGACAGAAGAAAATCCAAATGATAAAGTTCATATTTTGTTTGATGGTTCGAAAATTTATCATTCATGTTAATCGTATTATTTTTTATCATGTTGTTATATTTTAGGCGTGGAAACTGTTGATGATTTACTTGAGCGAATCGATGAAGCAATTGAAAAGGCAAACGTTGTTGTAACTAGTAGCAAAGACAAAAATGTTTCTGACAAAAAAGAAAGACAAAATGTCTCAGGTAGAACTGCAAATAATACTGGAAAAAAAACTGAAGTGAAGGCTGCAGAAGAAGAACCAGTTCGTATCCCTTATGGTGATGTACATCAGCTAAAAGATATTTTAGCTCTAGTCAATGATCAACCAGGTCATCGAAAAGTTGTACTTGAAGGCGCACCTAAACAATCAAGTAGTGCTACTATTAAAAAATCTAATAATTCACCGTCTGCTACAACTTCTCCAGTCACTACAAATGAACAAAAAGATTTATCAACAAAAGAAAAACCAACTGAAAATCAACCATCTTCAAATGATACATCTTCATCTAAAGCGGATCAAATTCATATTAATATTGACAATATTCAATGTGTTGATAATCTATTAGATCGTGTTGACGATGCTATTCAAAATGTCCCAGTTGTGATTGATGTAGAATCTCATATAGATAAAGCTCCAAGTTGTTGTCTATAAGAATGTAATATTTATTATTATCTTGTTTTTATTTTATTTTATATAGCTCCATCAGAATCAAAGGAACATGTTCAAAATGAAGTCGAAACTCAAAAACAAGGAGAAATTAGCAAGAAAGAAATAGCAACTGCTATGAAATTTCAAAAACAAAATCCTGAAATCGAACAAGAAAATAATGAAATAAGCGTAAAATTCTAAAGATCTTCAATTTTTTCATTTTGTTCTATATTAAAATAAATAAATTTCGTATAATTTAATGCTTTTTTTTTGAAGAAGAAGTTGATACTTCATTTTCATGTGCTGTTAATTGAAAAAGACAGAGCTTAACTAGATTTATTTTCATTATAATTGCTTGATATGGCAAACGTTGTGAACATGATAAGATTTGTAAATTATTTTTGCAAATGCTAAAAACAAAGAAAATGTAAATTAACATATTTCTCATTCTACATTTGAACAGAGGTTTATTTTTTAAAACAACAATCAGAAATCATCTATTCCAAGCTTTCTTTTTTCATCTTTGATGACAAGCATGGAGAAATTTAGTTTTTGTCAACATTAGAATGGAACTGCTATTTTAGTAAGTGTATTAGCGACACCTATTATGTATTTTATATTTTCAATAGCGACCATTTCTCCACTAAGAAACCAACAGAACAAACTTGTAGCTTCGTCATTACCAATACACATAAGAAATAAAATTTTGCTCTTTTTTTGGTTTGATTTAGACAGAAAAACAATAGTAATCGTTTCTTATATCATAATTTTTAGTTTATGACTGTTAGTTTAATGTTTGATTTTGATGGGTACAAGAGAAAGCGTTTTGAAAAAAATTCGGTAATTGTTTAGTTTAGACACCGGACAGAACAGAAAGAAAATATATACGTTAGAAAAATGACCAACGAAAAGAACAGAATGAAAGAAAAAAATATATAGATGTCTTCTGTAGATGACAGTGGCATGTTTCAAACATAGGCTATCAATTATGTTTTCCTTTTATTGCATGCCACTGTCATCTATAGAAGACATCTATATTTTTTTCTTTTTCTTTCGTTCTGTTCTTTTCGTTGGTCATTTTTCTAACGTATATATTTTCTTTCTGTTCTGTCCGGTGTCTAAACTAAACAAGTACGAAAAATTCTATAATATTAAATTTTTGTTTCGCTTAATTCACATTCCATCTGAACCTACAGACATCGCAATATATTGATCTTATTTTATTTTGAAATATGTTTCATTTTTTGAATAGAAGAATTTACTTTCTTAGTTAATTGAACCAGATGCTGTTCATCAATTTGCTGTTCAATCGGATGATCTGAAACAAACAACAATATATGCTGATGCTTTATTACCATCCATTATCATAGAAGATTGAAATGTAAATTAAGAAATATACTGATTTACTAGTTTTCATTATAAACGTGATTCTTTTTTGCATAGGAATAGATAGACAATATTTTTTTTTGGTGACCAAAAAATACTCATTTCGCATCATTTTGTGAACAAAGTACTGTCGTAGAGGATAGCAAAGAATTTCGTCAAAAACATAACGGTATGAAAACGAACTAAATTATTAATAACGGCTGTCTCGTGATGGGTATTGAAATGAATTTTTGACTCAATCCAATTTTCATGAAGGAATGAGACTTTTTTATTGACTCATATGTTGAATCTCGATCTGCAAAAAAAAACGACTGTTTCTTTTCTGATAAGTTTCTAGAAAGATCAATCAAGCTTTCAATTTTTCTGTGGTTATTTTAAATAGACACAAACATGCTTTGTTTTGAAACAAAAAATAAAACTTGTTTCCTGACTTATTAGGTCAATTAGAACGAAATTTCTATGAATTATTTAGGAAACTTATGTTCTCATTCGTATTCACTCCTATCTAATAAAAATTTACTTTCATTAAAACTATTAACTATCAGATGTATACATTATTAAAAAGTGTACAATATATAGTTTTGAATAAACTTCGTATACCATATTGGTAGTAAGAATAGAAACTTGTTATAAAGATCTTCATATATTTGAATTTGAGAATTTTGGCAAAGTTTAATCAATTTTGTGAAATACAATCTAAACGGAGTGTCGAAGTATAGGGATAACAATTTGGGCCCCCCACAGACGTGGCCGACATCCTTAGTAACGTCCCTCTTTTATCACAGACCGTAACAAACATAAACATAGAAATATTGAACACTATGAAAGACACCTTAGCAACGCCCATCTCTGTCGTGTCAGAGACCGTGACAGATGTTGTTGATGTACAATCACAAACCGTATATCACTAACGTCTTGTTATATAATATTTTAACTATCTGCTTATTGCAATTTTGGAGGATTAAGTAAATTGATAGTGAAGACATGCTTTCCAAAATAGAAATAATCTTTCTGTAATTATCAACAGCAACTACATCGTGTTTCATATTTTAGTCCAACAGAGATTGAACTAACAGCATTTTATTAATGGTTTTTATTCAATGAATAAAAAAAATTAATATATGAGAAAAATACATTTTGATTCTTGCTAAATCATAAATTTCAAAGAATTATTAAATGTTGAACTCTGGAAAAATTTTATCGATAATTAGTTGTCTAGATTTGATTCATTCGTCTTTTTTAGTTTTACTCATCGTGGTATAAAATATATTGATTTTTAATCAAACCAACATTTTTTAATCACATTATCACCATGTCCAAATCATCCTGAAACATTTATTATATGGAACGTAACAACTGGGCAAAAAATAAATGATTCTTGTTACTTAAACAACATTGTTATCAATGTTTATCTTATTTCAAGCAAATATTCTGTAATAGATATCGACTGACTATCTTTCTTCAAATGGTCGTTTCAAGATCAATATTTCGTTAAACAAAATCCTGATGGTATTTATATCTATGATACTGAGGTAAATATATTTAAATATTTGAATAGAAAAAAAAATAAAGATCTTGTTGTTTTGTGTAAATCGGATTATGTTTTTCGAAAAAAAGTTTGTTAGCGCAACTCTTTTGGGGCTGAAATGTGGAACTCACATATGCTCTCTAGTCTCATTAAATTAATACAAAATACGTAAAGTGATAAATCTTTCGTAGACTATAACTGTTTTGCAGGATAATCGATGTCCAGAACAATGATCTCTCTAATTTTTGCATTTTGAACAGAATTTTTTCATTTTTTTAAATTCATTTTTCGTTATTTAACATTCTTATTATTATCATCATTGAACTAATTCACAAATAAGCCTATTCTACATACTCATATCTACAGCAGATCTTACGCACTATAATATATATTAATCAACTCATAAATAATGATATTCATTATTTTTCAAAATTATAATTTAATCAATTTTGAAAAAAACTCTAGAAAATCTCATACCTGCTATTCTCGATTTCTAAGGACTGTAATGGGGAGAGGGAGAGGGGAGCCGCAAAACCTTGATCTTAGAAATTATACTCACCAATTTGTACGAAAATATATGTGAATTCCACAAAATATAGCGACTGTAAGTTTTAAATAGAAATGTTGCAGCTCCTCCTCACTGCAACGGGTTCAACAGTTAAAGCTTAATGACTATATTTTTCCCTAGCAACCGAGAGCAATAGACGACAGACACTTTCCCAGAGTTCCTTGTCAACGAAAAAAGGCACTAAACAACTTTAACAACAAGATTTAGAGTATTCTAGAACACTGCAATATAGGTGTTCTACAATCTGGACAGATCAAAAAATATGTTTTCGATATTAAAACCTTTTCGCCATGAAAAGCTGCTTTTTCATAAAATTGGTCTAGAAATGCTAAGCAACATTTAACACGATAATATTCTTAATCATTATAATTGATAGCCTATAACACGATGATTTTCGACTAAAAAACAACCTGAAAAATAGAGAGGTTCCTTCGTGAAAAAAGAAAAGAAGGAGCCATCAGTAAAACTACTGCTTATAACTTTCTGTCGAAAACCTCCGTTTTAGCACGATTTAAAATTTAATAATTGTGCCTCAGTTTTTTTTTACTAATGATATAAACTAGTAGACTGAAGTGTACATATTGATTGTAATTATTCTTTATCGCCATTTTTAGGAATTATATTCAAAACTAAAAAGAATTTGGTAATAGTCATATGCTCGTACTTACTGTTCAAGGTCAAAATAAAGGTACAATTATTCTTATGTATAGCATATTTCAAATATCCATGTATCTATTATAGAAGTATCTTATTTTGTTTTAATATGAAGTCATTTAGTAGTAACAGATACACCACGTAAAATGATCATTGGTACATTCGATGAAATTACAGAATTTACATGAAAATTTTGGGAACACCTAAAATTATTTTTTTTGGTCGTATTATTGAATATGATGTCATATGAAATAATGGTCATGAAATGAAACTTTTTAATTGCTAGTAATCTCAATTGGTGTTTGATTCAAAAAAGAAGATAAAGAATATTTTCATGAGAAACAATGAATAAAATTCGCGATTTACCGAAGGTTAATTCATTTTAAGAACATATTCATGATATCATTAGGTTTTGGATGGGAACTAATGGATAATATATCAAAATTTATCTTCAACAAAAAAAATAATAATAGGGACTATTAGATTTATATTTTATTTCTAGATAAACCAATATGTCGAAACGTTTTTTTGAAGGTGCTCAACATGCAGCTCAATATGCATTGACTCGACCAACATATCCACCAGAATTAATGGAAAAAATGATTGGTTTTCTTGCCATGAAAGTATAATTTTTCAAACTTAATTCTAATATAAAATAGTTATCCTTTTTTTGTCTATCTGTCTTCTCAGTATAAAGGTGTATATGATTATGCAGTTGATATTGGTTGTGGTAGTGGACAAAGTACTGAACTTTTATCACCTTATTTTCAAAAAGTCTATGGTAGTCGATTTCTTAATAGTTTTATTATAAAAAAGAATATTATTTTAGGCTATGATATAAGTGAAAATCAAATAAAAGAAGCACAAACAAAAAATAAGATATCCCATATAGAATACAAGTAAAATTAATACATTTTGGCCCCTTACTGTTTTTTCCTAATCATTCATATTTTGTTAAGAGTCAGTGCAAATAATTCCATACCACATACAAACGAATCACTTTGCTTAATTACTGCTGCACAGGTTAGTTATATCCTTGTTTTGTTTTATAATAATGTATTTCGTTTGATGATGTTTATAGGCAGCACATTGGTTTGATTTAAAACAATTCTATTCCGAAGCTAATCGAACTCTGAAACATATGGGCGTATTAGCTCTCTATGGTTATGAATTGCCGAAAATTGATGGCGAACATTCTTCACAACTCAATGAAATTTTTCAAAATGTATATACAATAATTAATTAAAAAATAATTTATTCGAAAAAAAAAATATATTTGTTTAGTTCTACAAGAAATTATTACCATATTTTCCACCAGATCGAGTTCAAATTGATAATAAATATGCTGATATTATTTTACCTTATGAAGAAAAAATTCGGTAAAATAAAACCAAACAAATTTATTATTATTATTATAATTTGTTGAATATGTTACAATATGTTTTATTAGAGATGAAAGTGTCAAAATAAAATATGAATGGAATCTTGATCGTTTTCTAGCTTATATTTCAACATGGTCAGGATATGTTCATTATATGAAAAAATATCCAGATAAAAATATTATTCTTGATTTACGTAGAGAGTAAGATGAAAAATTTCAAAAAACAAAAATTTTCTTAAAAGTTTTTCTTATGTAGTTTGTTTAAAGCAATGAAAACAGACAATGAAAATGAACCAATGAAAATTAGTTTTGGAACATTTATTTTACTCGGTCGTAAAACGGACTGAATAAATTAATTTAAGATCGATAATCAAATTTTGCAATCTTCGTCTTTCTTTTCTTTTTGCTTTCTAGATAAAAATATGCTTACCTATGAAAGTATTACTATCGGTCAACGTGTTGAAGTCTTTCACAATGATAAAGTTGTTTATGGAACAGTTCTTTATAAAGGTCCAATCGTAGGACGACGTGGTATATGGCTTGGAATAGATTTAACTACTCAAGACGGTGATAATGATGGAACTTTAAAAGGACGTGTTTATTTTCGATGTCCACCTAATTATGGAATATTTACGATTATTGATCATATACGTTTAGCATCGGATTTTCAACGAAGGTAAAAGAACGCAAAGGTAATAAAAAGAATTTATTCAGAATATTATTTGTTGATAGACGAAAATCAGTTTATCGCACTGTGAATAAAAAAAGTGTTGTTGAGGAAGAGTTATTTGGTAATACAGGTAAAAACAAATGTCATCAACTATATATGTATATATTTATTTCAAAGATTTTATCTTTCAGATCCACTTACATTACCTCCTCCATCGACCAATGCAAGTATTTCTAATAGTAAAGTAACACTTTCATTAAAAAATCCACATGAACGTCCACAATCAAGTATTTTTTGTGAAAATGAAAAACGTTATCCATTACCACAAACATTAGCTAAAGAATATGATTATAAAATAAGAAAACAACGTCAACGTGAAAGTATGGTGTCTAATCAAATCGATACAACGTATGAATCATTTAAAACCATATCGAATTATTTATCTATTTATTCTTTTCTTTTTGATTAGTGAATTTACATTTGCGCCTACACCATCAATTCCACCCATTTTTATGCCGCCAAGTGAAGTTGATCGTGCTAAACGAACAGGTTTTGTAGGCATGAGTATACCGCGTTATACAGTTGTCTACGATCAATATGATTTTCTTGAATAATTAAACATTTTTTAATAAGTTTCTTTTTTTTCGAATTCCGTCCATTTGCGTTATAATATCAATTTTAATTTCTCAAATAATGTCGTATGTATTTGTGTGTTTATTTAAACGTCATATAAAAGCACCTATTTGTCTTTAATTAAAATCAATTGATTCTTAAAGAGGAAATTTTTTATTTTATCTTTGTGTTAAAAATTAATGTATTCTTATTACTAACCAGTGTCCTACGCGAGTGAATTTTGTAAGAGTCGACCCAATGTCAAAATAGTTTTAGGTCAATGAAAGCAACCTTGTCGGAGATTAAACTTTTTTTTTTTGAATCCATACGAGCTCCCTCAAAAAATGGAAAACAGCTAAATCATTATCTCATTTAGAATTGTTGCTTGTCTAATGTGAAGCTTGACGATAGTCTATTTCGCTAATTGACAAATGAATTGAATATTTGATAAATTAGTTTTGAAAATATTGAAATAAGGCAACTAATGTCAATAATATCATCATATGCTTCTATTGCAGCTATGCCTACAATTAGTCGGCGACAAAAGTCTCACCCGTATTGAAATAAATTTTTTATATTACTTTGACGTATGAGAATAGAATGTAACACATATGTACAGAGGAGTTCGAGACATTTACGCAGCACTTATTACTTTTATAAATGTTTGCTTCTTCTTTAAGCAAAGAAAAAATATATCAATACATCCATTTTTGGGTGACTTGTTGAGAGATGAGATAGGTTCTATGATATGAGACCGATATTTCGAGCTGACGGATTTCCAGTGAACAACTTACAATTCGAAATTTCGCGCTCAGTGTTCTTTGTATTGCCCGTTGACGGAGCATAGCCAAAGCTCTTCCCTCTCAATGATCAAAAGTTATAAACTCGAACTCACTTCACACTATCCATCTCATCTCTCAACAAATCATCCAAAAATGGATGTATTTAGATATTTTTACTTTGCTCAAAGAAGAAGCAAACACTTATAAAACTAATATGTGCTGCGTAAATGTCTCGAACTCCTCTGTACATATATGTGTTACATTCTATTCTCATACGTCAAAATAATCTTAAAGAATTCATGTCAATACAGGCGAAATTTTTGTCGTCGACTAAATAGTTGGTTTCTAGTTTCACTCGACGTCATATGATGCATTGCTACATATTCTAATGTTATTATGATTTGGCTTTCGATTTCTTCATGGGAAAAGAACAATCTCATACATTTACTTAGTTCCTAGAACTAGTTTTGGTAAGAATAATATTTTTTCAGTCGGAATTGCGAAACTATGAAATAGCAAACTCTAATATTGTTTAAGACATAAATATAATGTATCATTATGAGTTTTATTTTCAAAATTTTGTTTCGTTCAATTGTTTATAAATAGATTCATTCAGAAAACTTGTTCTGTGAATGTAATACACTAATAACTCTATTTTGTTATAATTATTTAAAGTATTCATGAATATTTACTTACTGTCTAACAACTAGTTATGAAATAATAGTGGCTCAAGAAGAATTCGTCTCTCTACATAAGACAAGAAAGATGAGTACATTAACAAAGTTTTCGAAACCAATCAGGACATATCAAGGAAGATATGGAATTGAGTGTGGACGCGTGTATGTGTTGTTGTGGTTGCGAATGTGGATGTCGCTGAAGAGAAGACCTAGATCATTACAGTAAACTTTTAGAGACGACACATATATTTCTTTCGACATGTTCGAAACAGAAATATTGATGTAATATGTCTTCTTGCTCTAGATTAAAATTATCAGTTAAGCTAATATTTTCAGGACCTATTTGTTGTAGGATGAATGGCATGGATTAGACATTTTATCTATTTCAAATAAATTGATCGCATAATTTCATATGAAAAGAAATTAGAGAACAATATGGATTTCTCTAATCGAAAATTTTGTTGTTCTCGGATTCCCTGCAAAATTCAGAAAATACTGGTTATGAAGAATTCTCATCAAAGAGTTAATTGACATTGTAAAAGATTGAAGGTAACACATATGCGTATTGAAACTATACTTAAAATGAAGGAACCCTTAGCAAAGTAGAATAGATACTTTTCATACTGCACAATCATGAATGCTCAAGCACATTTTTATCTGATATAGACCTGCATCTCAAAAATATTTATTTTGACTGATGTAGTGTTATTCATACATTCTTTATCTTATGTTCATAAGTACAATTGCGAAAGCTAAAAGAATGCGCACAGTGTTAGAAGTGTTGTCTTCATGATCACTTACTCATTGAAGTTCACGGTAGTCAACATGAAGCAACAACTTTCTTTCAATTGAACTTGATGTAAATCGATCAGATTTGCTTTCAGAAATAGGATACGGTTCATATAAATGTCTATCTTCACGCGTGTCATTTAGAGAATGTAAAAGTAAAGATTTTTTCTGTTTAGAAAATTTAATGTTAAAAATACTCTATAATCATGTCAGACAAATAATACTAAGAAAGTTGCCATGCATCATTTACTTAAAGAAACGAGTTAAAAATGTATTTTCCCATCATCTTCTGCATCAAAAAGATCTGATGCGATTATCGATTTTACCATTGAATAATAAGCTGTAAGATGGAACTCAGTAGTTGCTAACATCGGTGTATCTGTTCATTATCCACTTACATTCTTATCTCCTTTTGTAATAGCAAAATCTTCGTTTGTCGTAAGGAAAAGTAATGTATTTTCACTGCTTTCTTGTCATACATTTTTCAATACTGTAAATATCTGTGTACAATATTCAACAATAAGGTTGTTTTATTCTTTTGTTAATTTTTTTGAAAGCATTATACCAATTCACTATATATGATAGAAATGTCGTCGAACTGATTTTCTTACATATCTATATTTGTATAACGAGTCTAGACATTTCTATTGTTGTATCTAAACGTTTGATAAAAAAGAAAAACATGAAAAATATTATAAAAACTTATCGAAACAATAAAATACATGGAGAATAATAGTGTATACTAACTGCATATTTTTCATTGCCTAGAGGATAGAAAAATAATAATTATTAAATTAGTAGACATTGCCAAAAAATATTCGACTAATTCAGTGACTATTTAGCTAAGCATTGTATAAAATGCAGTACGTGGACTCAAAAATAGAAAACATATCGTTTATTTCTAAGTATACAAAAGAAAATTGTTGATATGCCATTAAGTTACAGTTAGTTCAATTGAAATAAAGAAACCAACCTATTGTAATTTACAATATGGGTAAAACATTCCATTGATATCATGAGAACGTAAGCATTTCTATTAAAACATTTGTCAGTAAAGTACACGAGCTCACTCACTGAACTGTTTAGTAAATAGGCTTCAAAACGGGACCTCTTTTTTAGCTTGTAAGCTAGCTAAGTTTATTCGTCTGTCCATAAACCTATATCCTCTCATTTGAAAATCGATTATGACCAATGTCATTGTCATATAATTTATGTCAACTTTATAAGCAATGCATGCATACAAAAATTCTTAATCGTTACGAATTGAGTGCTATCCACCAAAAATACAAATATTTCAAGCACTCTATTTCGGCGACTTTTCGTTACTAATTCTACCTTTGTCACGTTTGACGTTGTCTTTTCGGAACTTCTCTGGTCGATAATTTTATCTTTCGGCATTTTTCCATCATACCAATGGCTGCAGTCATTTTATGAATATAATTGCATAATAATGAAACTTTATTAAGAAATGTGAGTATTTATATAAGTGCATTGAAGTACTCCGTACTATTGATGTCATTATTCAGATTCAATATTCAATTTTTGATTAAGATGTCTCTATCATTTATTATTCACTTATTCCCTAATGATCTTGCTATCCTGATAAAAGGTTGTCGGAAAATACAATTCAAGTAGAAGAACATCCAAAAGTAGCTGTGCTAGTGCTTGAGAAGCATTTTTAATATAGATTAATACTATTAATCAAGAACATCCATATTAACATCTCGAAAAAATAATAGCTTGCGTTTGTATCGATGTTTATGTATTTGAGTATTGAAATTCGTATTGAGTGTGGGAGAGGGCTCTTTTTTTCAAGTTCATCTATCAAAAATAACAAATAGTTATTTTGCACTTCAAAAGCTTTAGCAGAATATTTTGAGTAGTGATATTATAATTAGACATCTCTTACTTCACACATTTGCTCTTCCTCAGTTCACACAAATGCTTGTTTATGGTTTCTTTTAACGGAAAAAGCGAAAAAAAGGAGTAGAACACGTTTATACATCTGGTAGCGTCCTGTGAGAAAGAAAACGATATTAAAAATGGGCGATCCCAAAAATCGTTGTGTTTATGTAAATACTCTCCAAACTTTGATCTTTCAAACAAAAACCATCATAGTCAAACCAATGTTACATGGTCGAGAAATAGATTTCGACATTCTTTCAAAATACTTTTGCATCCCTGATTAATTAAAAGAAATACAATAAATACATATCAAAACTAACTCGACAAGTTAAACGATTAGTTATTCAATTGTAATTCAATTATCAAAACTATTATTTTCTTTATGATTATCATCTTCGTAAGGACTATTATTCGGATTATTTCCTAATATACCATTATTATTATCTTCTCTTGCATATTTTCGCTTTTCATTAGTGCTGTTGATGTGCTAGTCTCTTTTCAATTATTCAATCAATGAAGAAAAATATTCTCTTAGCTTAACGATGATTAATTTCGATCTATGAATAATAATTGATGTATTTTACTACAATGTACCTGCAATAATAATTTCATTTTTAATTTACAGCCATGTGACGTTGTGTAAAGTGCAACTGTGACAGAAACTAGTGTCTGACATGACAATTTTTATCAAACAAGAAAAATAAAATCGTGATAAGAATGCTGAAAGCATTACGAACATTCTCACAGAACACTAACATTAGATCTCCGTATGATATACTCTTTATGAGAATGGAATGAGTTCACTGTTCTGATATTAACTAGGAAGAAAACTGTTATTGACTATATATA